GATGCTTAAATCCCAAAGCAAGTTTAAAGATTTACTTGGTTAAGTTTTGCAGCTTAAGATTACAAAATGTAAGGTCATCTATTGGTATTTGATATATTACAGATTTCGTCTGAATGGCAATATTGTATGCAAAATTTTCTTTAACTTAGAGGTAATTCTTTTGGATGCGTCATTTTTAGTGATTTTGTAAGTACTCTGTAGGAAACTAATTAACTTGAAACTTACATTAATTTTTCACTTTGTGTAACAGCTGCAAAAAAAAATAGCAACATTTTCAGGCATAGGCGTTTTTGAAGCAATTTTGTGCTTCCTCGAAAATCATGATAATTTTTTATAAATCTGTCAAATATGAATACACATGCAAAAGGAAATGTACATCAATGAGGAAGCACCAACGACGAGAGAAGTCAAAAGTACAAACAACAATTGTGTATGACCTGTAAACAAGGCAAATGTATGCCACATATGAAAAAACATTATAGGATTATTTTTTTTAGAGATTATTGACATGCAAACTTGGATCGATTAATTAGCATCTGAATAAAACTCCTTATAATTCTCCACCAAAATGTTGTTTTTTTTAGTTTATCTAAACGTTATAAACATTAGGATTCAACTCATGTGTATGGAGCATGAAAAGATCACAACAAAAAGTAAAAAAAAAAAACAAATATACAGAACTCCAAGGAAAATTCAAATCGGAAAGTCCCTTATCAAATGGCAAAATCAAACGATCAAACACATCAAACGAATGGAAAACAACTGTCATATTCCTGACTTGGTACATGCATTTCTTATGTTTCGTGTAAAACACAGAAAACGACCGTGTTTACATGAAAAGGTTAGGACATTTATTTCGACAAGGTGGTATGTACAAGTGTAAACCAAAGAAAGCATTGTATAATGCCCTATGAAAAAATGCTCAAAGTTACTGTTAACAAGCGAAAAGTACTGATCATGCTCAATAGAAATCATACGGTCTAATACTGGTTGGTCTACTAAATAGTAGATGTCATTGCATTGCACATTCCCCAAACAAATACAAGTCTGTCCAGCATACGTAAGAATATTTATATTACATTCTATTTTATCTTGTATCAAATTATGTATTGTAAGAAAATAATATGCGTGTTTTATACATAGGACTTATGTGGCAAGTTGATGCTTAAATTTAGTTTTAGTAAAAATTATATGTATAGATATTACCTGAATTACCATTGATGTCCAAAAATGTTAATTTTGAAAAGTATACGACACTACAAAAGAAAATTTACAATCTAGTGACAATACTATATCACACTCAGATAGCAATAGAAAAGTTGCCAGTAATGTTTCAAAGAGAAGAATATATTAAGTCACTCGTTAACTTGAAGGTGTTAGACAAGCTTAAATATTTCAGATGATATTTCTCCTATAGTGTAATCATCTATCTTAAGAAAAAGAGCCGTAAGATACCAAGGAGACATTTGAAATGTATGAGTCTCCATGGGAGAAACCAAAAGCAACGCAGACAAACAAGTTCATTAAATACTAAAGAGCAACACGCGCATCACTATCTTGAACATATAAGGAACCTTTTACCAACCAAACTGCTCTGTAGAGGTGTTCTTCAACCGTCTTTAAATCAACGATTTATCCGACATTTCTGTTCTTTTTATATTGGTTATTTGACTGTTGTTCAATATCTTATTTACAGATGACGACGGATATTTTCCAATTATCGTAACCAGAATCCCGTCGTCTTTTCCTCGAATGTGAAATACCGATTGAGACTTATCACCAGCTTTGTGCTTACATGAGCAACACTGCGGGTGCAGGATCTGTAACCTTTCGAAGATTACCCCGTTTTGATAAGGTTCGTGTTGCTCAGTCTTTAGTTTTCTATGTTGTGTTTTGTGTACTGTTGTTTGTCTTCTTGCCGTTTTCCGTTTTTGCCAACTTATTGTCAGTTTGTTTTTGACTCATGTGTTTGGCTATTTCTTTGGTAACTTTCGCCTCTCTTTTGTAGGTATGCCAATCACATTGTAAATAGTGACCTAAATATAGTTTGACATTGAAATAAAGTACCCAATGTTTCTGGCTGAGCACTTAACGCAATAAATGGAATTTTGAAATCCATGCTGTTGACCTCAATGTCAAAATCTCTAGAACTATGTTAAAATCCTCTTAGACTGGACTATGATGATCATTGACTAAAGATTCAAGTATTGTATTTTAAGATTCTCATAAAAAAAAACTGTTTTATATGAAATAGTTAGCCATTTAATATTAAACAAATAGAATCCATTTGCGGGTATCCTCTTTTAAACGAGTCTGGACAGGTTCTAAAAATCTTAAAATGACATAAAATGAACTATGCGTAATTTGTGTAGTAGATTACCACATGGGACCATTATCTATTTCAATTTACTTCTATGCAAATGTAGAAGTTGTTTTCTTATACAATTAAGATTACTCAATTCATCTCGAATTTTGAAAATCCTATCATCAAATAAAAAATACATATAAGATCCGTGGATGCAAAATTTACAAGTATGAATCCATTCGTTTGACGTGATTTTGCCAATTGATAAGAGAGATTCCGTTTTGAGCTTTCCTTGGAGTTTGGTATTTTTGTTATTTTACTTTTTTCTGATATGTTTCATTCCCTGCGTGTTTACTTATTTAGTTTACGGTTAAACGATTATTATTAATGTTGAAAGGGTTTGAAAAATGTTTTTAATGGATAAAACTATGCGAGTACTGTCCATAAACTTCAAAAAATCTCATTGGCCATTCTCGTATATAATGTTATATGACTAGACCAGAGAGACTTATTGTGAAAAGTAAAATCACAAAAATACTGAACTCCGAGGAAAATTCTAAAAGGAAAGTCCCTAATCAAATGGCAAAATCAAAAGCTCAAACGCATCAAACGAATGGATAACAACTGTCATATTCCTGACTTGGTACAGGCATTTTCTTATGTAGAAAATGGTGAATTGAACCTGGTTTTAAAGCTAGCTAAACATCTCACTTGTATGACAGTCGCATCAAATTCCATTATATTGACAACGATGTGTGAACAAAACAAACAATAATAAACATAATGTGACTTATGTCAAAGTTGATATCTTTTGAAAACGTTTAATATGAATGGCAACCGATATGCAATCTTGTGTTATGTCATAATTTTTAACTTTTTTTTCAAATATAGTAAAGATCTCAAATAGATAAAGGCTTTTCCATAGATAGAATAAAATAATCTTTATTATAATAAACAACGAGACTCTTTTGACTGCTGGTTGAGTTTTTCTCTCTTGGTAATTGACATTTTGATCAAAACAAAATCTTGATGAATAATTTATGCTTAGGGTACTTTTTCTAAAACAATCGCACCACAAAGCAGGATAGTGATGTGGAGCTGTATAAACAAACTCTGTTTAATAAAGGTACAGTTGCTAGAAGGTCTCGAACAATTTACAATGTATTAAAATATCACATATTGCAACGTAATCAATAATACGTACCATGTCAGATATAAATCTATAGAAAGCACCATGAAATACATACTAAGGGAGGTAAATCCCATAAAATCTAACAGATTCTAATGTAAAATTTATGCATATTATCTGTCCTGATAAAACTGTCAAAAACTCGTTCCTTTTACTGCACCAATTATTCAATTAAGTTATAAAAAAGATCATTTTTATTATATAGTGTATAAGGTATGTCCCGTAATTTCGATTTTGAATGGTTCTTATGTGTACCATGATTTTAAGGTTAACTATACCCCTAATCATACAGAGCTTTAGCCAAATAGGTCAAATATTTTCGAATTTATGGTTTACTATGCTTTTCATCTTTGTATTTGATTTTGGCCTTCCATTTTTTTTTATTCGAGCGCCTCTAATGTTTCTCATAACACGCACATCTGGAGTATTAAATCATCAACCTGAATAAAGGTGTTTTATTATTGTTATCCTCCTGACACAGAAATGTTCCCTATATCGTATTGTTTTTATTTTTTATTTTACTTTTGGTTTTATTGGTCATCAAGATTATGTGTCAATCACCACTGGATAGAAATGCACATCTGGTACATCACATTTATTTTTTTCGGGATCTTATTATTTTGAAATTGGTTTATAAAATCCTTCAAATGAAATTTTATTTCTTTACTAATTTCAGACATTTTGGAATAAAATGAAGTGAAAAATCTGCTCACCTTTTAGATTAATGTTGTTAATGAAAGTTCTAAGAAAAAAAATCGTTGTGTTTATTGGAATATTATACGTGACATAATCATAAACAATCAAGCTAAAAATATTACTTTTATAATTACTCTATGACAAAACAAGAGATATCGAACATAATTATTCCTTGTTAATGAGAATCCATTTCGTAGTTGATATGTCAATTAAATTAAAAATAGCTCATGTGAAAATATTTCCAAGAATTGCCACATTAACCATGCTTTGTAATCATAAATATAAATGATTTTGTGAATGTAAATGACGGTAAAAGATATTTAGATAATATAAAAAGAAAAATTTTATATAATTATAATATTTCTTATAAATATAAACATGAAATAACTTTTTAAACAATTAGAACTTAAACGCATAGTGAAAGATAACGCTAAAAACTCTGTTGTGAAACCACAAGGCCCCTTATAAATATTTCGACTGCAAAAATTCGTGACATTGTAATTATAGAAATTATCGAATTGGGCATCTCGTGCAGTAAAATTGGTACCGTTAATGTTATTGTCATAATTAACATTGACAGAGCTCGAGAAGTATGCTTACATAAAAATGGTCGTCATTGCCAACCGATCTTTTTTTAACAATCTATGTACCTATTTGATCTATTTCCCAAAGACGATCCACAATCAATCTACACTACTAATATTGAGGTCGTATGTGTTGCTTCTTAGAGCAGCTTCATACAATTTGAGCAGGTTCATATGATTTGAGCAGGGTCACATAATTTGTGCAAGTTCATATAATTCTTTTCTTGTTATTTGATAATGCAACCAGCACTTTTGTAACATACATTGACTGTAATAGAGTTAGTATTAGAATTCAAAACAGGTCACTGCAATACCTCAATAGAAAAATATTTTCGTGTGAAAAATTAAAAGTAAGCAAGATTAATATTTGAACAAAGCTTTTAATTACCTTTGGAAATTGTATACAAAAAGGATTAATTGCTAGATAGACAGATTTGAAACCCTAATAATATGTTTAAAGTCTGACAAAATATTATATTACTGTGCAAGTACAGCTCTTTTTATCTCCTTTATTGTCAGTGCAGTTGTTATTGTTTGTAATGTTTGTCTGTTTCTTGGTTGTCTCCTTTGTATTCTTTTTGTTATTGGTACCATTGCTGTTCTCTTTCATATTGGTTAGGGATGTATTTCCCTTAGTACTATCTTTCCTTCCAGTTTTATTGTTGCCACTGGTAACAGGGATTGGTTGGTAGTCATCGCAAGTGCCATTCTTTTTTTGTTTTTCCAACATTTCTTTCTTTTCTTTTTTCACTTTGTTTAAAATTTTCTTCTCTTCAGCAGCTCTGTTTTTCTGTAAAAGCAAAATACATGTCAGTTGAATCTATCTTCATTTTCAACAAGGTCAATTATATAGTTTCTCATTGTATGGACATTTTTGTAATATTAAGATATGATGTATCTCGAGATGAAATTTCTTAAAATTAGGTATTCTTATCATGCTTTTTTATTGAGTAAATTGGAGTTCAAAATTGAATTTTTCGTAATGACGGTGACATTTATACACAATTTCAAAGTTTCTAAAAGAAGTAATTTTGGCACTTGAGTAGCCAAATTGTATTGATTTAGAAGCTTTGATAAATTTTCATTATGATGAAAATAAAGAAACGTCTCTGAAGCTTTATTTCATTTCAAAACTTGATCGACTTTCCTGTTACATGCTAAAATATATCAAATTTACTTACCTTTATCGGGCAGTTTTGCAAGGTTCCTATATTGTCATTTTCTAATATTGTTATATCCACTTTTTTGAACTCTAGTGGATAGTTGTCAGATTGGAATCATACCACATTTCCTTATTCTTATTTCATATGAAGTGGTTTAATTTTTTATGTGTTACATGGTTTATTTCTATAATTTTTTCCCTAATTATGGCCTCATACTTTTCGTAAAATTACTTCCGGCGTGTTCTGCAAAAAATTCAAATGTAGTAAATAATTATATATACATAAAATTGAGAATGGAAATGGGGAATGTGTCAAAGAAACAACAACCCGACCATAGAACAGACAACAGCAGAAGGTCACCAACAGGTCTTCAATGCAGCGAGAAATTCCCCTACCCGGAGGCGTCCTTCAGTGCACATGAGCTATTTTTAATTTAATTGACATATCAACTACGAAATGGATTCTCATTAACAAGGAATAATTATGTTCGATATCTTTTGTTTTGTCATAGAGTAAATATAAAAGTAATATTTTTAGCTTGGTTGTTTATGATTATGTCACGTATAATATTCCAATAAACACAACGATTTTATTTCTTAGAACTTTCATTAACAACATTAATCTAAAAAGTAATATATGTATATATTATAAAAGGCAACAGGAAAACCCCGAAGATATGCATGCTGTTTCGTAAGGAAAACAGTTTGCTTTCTATCTCATTTGATAGTAAATTTGGTGCAATGTTTTATTTTTTCAGATTTTTAGTCACGTGAATAGATCCCGAAACGTTCATATTTGTATTTACATTTATTTCCTCCTGACAGTAAGATGAAATGTTGCTTGTTAGACTATTTACCGGATTTGTAATAACATAAGCAACACGACGGGTGCCACATGTGGAGCAGGATCTGCTTACCCTTCCGGAGCACCTGAGATCACCCCCCGTTTTTGGTGGGGTTCGTGTTGCTTAGTCTTTGGTTTTCTATGTTGTGTCATCTGTACTATTATTTGTCTGTTTGTCTTTTTATTTTTGGCCATGGCGTTGTCAGTTTGTTTTCGATCTATGAGTTTGACTGCCCCTCTGGTATCTTTCGTCCTTCTTTTGTAAGTTCCTTTTGTTTTTTTAAGCACTCCCGGTTTAACAATAGCATTTTCCTTTTAATAAAATTTAAATACAAAATTCAAAATACATGGGCTACTTTCACATTTTAATATATATTTTTTTTGTCAAAATCATAAAGTGTGTTCTTTAAGACTTAATTTGTTTAATAACTTTCATATAAATATTAAACTTTCAAATTATTCCGCCCCTGAAAAGAACTAAAAAAAATGATACAAAATGAAGTCCACAAATAAATCATTGCAACTTATATGATATATAGACTTTTACAGGAATATGTACCCTAATATAAATTTACATGCGGAAGTAAACTTTTTAGAAATGCGGAAAATTCAAAGGTAGATTAACTTGAATAGTATTTTTTTTACCTGATACTGTATAGCTTCTACTGTGTGAGTCATTTCTTTCTGTTCAGCTGCTTTCTCCGCCGACATCTCAATCTCGCCATGTTTGTACTGAATTATAATAAGACAAATGACCACATGGTGTCAGACTTAAACATGGATGTTGCTTTTATCTTCTCAATTTCATGAGGACGAATGAATGTTAAATTGATATAAAAGTTCCTATATTCGTGTTGTTATCCTTAAAATGTATGTTCATGGTATAATCATGTTTCAATTACAGTTGAAACTATACCAAAATAAATTAAACAGAGTGAACATTTCATAAATGGTTATTATTTGTTGGGTTTATGGTTTAAGTGGGATTTGCAAGTGTTTGGCTAATAACCTAATATTTCTAACGACACATATAACCAAAGAGACATTCAGAGGTCAACATACAGTTATCTTCTTTTCGTGCATTCAAAACAAATTTCAGTTTTCAATTTAGAAGTTTGAAAAAATGCGAAATCGGTAAACTCGGACTGAATGATACTCAATATCAAATCAAAAATAAGTTGTGTGATTGTCAATGAGACAACTATACACCAAATGCAAAAGGTCGTGCATGTTAGCATATTTCGGTCACCGTACGGCCTTCAACAATGAGTAAAATCCATAACGTATGATAAGCCACAAAAGATCTCGACCGGCATGACAAAATGTGAACAATTAAAATGAAAACCGAAGGTTGATTATGCTGAAACAATAAACGAAAACAAATATTGCAGACAACAAATAACGACAATTACTGAATTACAGGCTCCGGACTTTAACCAGGCACATAACGAATGTTGCTGAGTTAAACATGGCTGTGAGCTCTCAATCCTCCCCAAACCTTGGACAGTGGTTAATCAGTTGGAAAGGCTCGACTCACCAGATCGACACGAAGCACAAAACAATCAACAAAAAGTACCGATCTGAACTACTGAAAAGTTCAAGACAACTACAAGAAATGAATAAATCATATCTTCCCAGTCTAGAATATGAATCACAACACATCCAACGGATTTAGTGTAGCGCCTTTCAAGACAGTTTGAGAAAAGCAGAACCATGTACAAAAATATAAGTATCGTCTAGATGTAGGATCAAAAGTGCTAATAACTGCATAGCAATTCATGTTTAGTTATATTTTAATTTATTAAAAACAAAATCAATATTACTACCAATAAAGAAAATGTTCAAAAATTTTACACTAATAAATTAATTTTAGTCAATAAATTCTTATGTCATGTTCAATCTTGTAGTAAATTTTCAAACTTATCCACTGAGTTACATTCAGTACTGTTCAGACAATTCGCTTGTAGTCAACCCAGTATTGTTTATTAGCATTTCAGACAATACAGTATGGTTTTGATGTGTACAGGTAAATAACAACTACAGAAAAGTCTAAACATAGACTGAACAGATCTTAATTGACTGCAAGCAAATTGTATGAACAGTACTGAATTTTGACTGCAAGCAAATTGTCTGAACAGTACCGAATTTACCACAGTGAATAACTTGGTCACTGAATCTCCTTGATCGATACCTTTATATCCCTGTTGATTCCCTGACTCAGCAAGTACTTTCCAATCGGATCCTGGGAACTGTCAATACTCAACGACAATAGGTCTTTCGGAGGAGGTCTGGTTTGGTACATTTTGACATGAAGATCGTTGAGACTGATGTCCTTGTACATACTGTTTCGTATGTTCTCTACTTTTGATAAATCTCCGGCCTCAATGGCGAACTTAAAGTCCATGTACTTTTGAAGCAGATATACCTCTATTCCAAAGTCCTTCACTCTTTCTTTGTGTATAGTGCCCTGCATAGATTCAGCAATTTTACTATAATCACTTGGTGTTCTTCCTTTCTGCAAATATTGTATTGATTATAAATAGTCTTAAACATGTTTTTTTAGTGGTGAATAAATAAAATTTTGCTTATAAAAATATATATAAACTCAGATTCAGGATTAAACTTTTGTATGCCAGACGAACGTTTCGTTTACAAAAGACTCATCAGTGACATTTGAATAAAAAGAAATAAAAAAGGCAAAATAAAGTACGAAGTTGAAGAGCATTGAGAACCCATATATTAGGGTAATTAACTGTAAAATACTAACTGAAATCTTGTTTGAGCGCCATGGATGCACGAAATTAAAAAAGTTTTTAACTTCATTTAGGAATCGGCAATTGCTACTTCTCCGCTTATCACAAGGCATTTCGAAGTAAGAGATATGACGGGTTGTTTTGCAGGCAGAATAATGTGTCCGGGTACGTTAACATGTCTTCCTTTGGAGTTTAACCTTGTGAACCTACACGTTAAAATTCCGCGTGTCGGTCTATTAAAGAGTGCGGACGAAATTGTAGATCATTAACATGTCCTAATATACATGCCACTTAATGATTAACATCAATACATCATCATCATTTGTTGTCCATATTTGACACTAAACACTTTTAGTCTATATCACTTTCTTTACGTTGTTCAATTGTTAGCCTTGTTTAAATTTCCATTCGACTGTATCGTTTAAAAAAGGAAGTAACACGGTGTGATTTCAGGGCGCACGACACGTGTTGCTGGAATATTCTCATCACTTACACTCTATAACAAATTAATGAAATATGTTTTTTTACAACCAAACTATAAAATGTTATGAAGGTCAAAATACACAAAAGCAAGAAAGAAAAGATTAGTAGACTTTTTATGACTTTTAGGAGTGTGCAGTTGAAAGTTTTTGGGAAGTCCTCGACAAATATGAATACGATTTCAAGTTATCCATATGATACTATTACTTGAAAAGCTTGTTAAATTGGTTATAAAAAAAGACTTTATCACATTATGGAATCTGCTCCAGGTCGAACCCGAGACAGTTAACCAGAATTCACACTTAAAAATTAACCCTATTTAGGATTTTCCTTCTCAACAAAACTAGAAATGTTTGTGCCAAAATTGTAATTCGCATCTTTTCACAGGTTTTGTTTACATTCTTTGCATCACAGTTTGATAATTTCAATGTGTGAAATTCTTTTAGCATTCCTGAGCGGTTATGAGATCATCATCATCCACCTTAATTTCTTCTCGTTTTTGCATAGTGACATGGATATTCTTGTGAAGGAGTACCTTGAATTTTGCTTTACCCCAATATAGTAAGCTAGATTCTTGTCATCTTCTCGTTTCACGTAAGACCGCATTTGTTGCTTGTAAACATGGCAAGGAAATTAACTCAGATTCGCCAAACATTTACTCCACCTAAAATGAGGGGTAATTTTAATCTGATATCGCCCCAGGTTTAGGCATTCACACTTACTAAATTTTACCCGGATTATCTAATTCAGGTAGAACTCGAATTAAAAAGGCATAATGTGATATGGAAACCAACGTTAAAGGAAGTAGCATTTAAAAAAGAATTTAAAAAAATTAAAAGTAATTTCTGTGTGATGGATAGATAAAATATGACAACAAATATGCAAACGAGAGACTCGGGAAATTAAAACAGTGTAAACATGTTGCCTATCCTACCTTGTCTCGCGCAGAGGGATCCGCTCCAGCTTTCATTAGACTTTCTTCTATATCTTTTCCTTCTTTGAGACAAACTGCCCAGTGTAAGGGTGTTCTTCCTCCCTAATGAATAGTTGATAAATTTAAACCACAAAATGTATTAAATAAGCATATTGTTAATAATTTCTTTACTAGTATCACACGTATGCGTACTTGTCAAAGGCATTTGTCTAAGTTACTTCTAAGAATAAGGCATTTTAGTCATTTTGTCTCTTAAAATTGAGGTAAAAAACTTAATCATGAGCAATACCCTCTTCCTCTTTTCCCATGGTTTTGTCGATTTCTCTTCGACTTACGAGTTTTAACTGTCCTGTTGGTATCTTCCTCCTCTTTAAAACAAAAGAGGCATAAAGTAAAGAAAAATAAATATAGATAAACTTATGTCAGTGTATGTATGTTCAAGTGTTGCAACTACACAGGAATATTTCACTCACATGAAGTTCACGTGAATTTAAATTCATGTGAATCTCAAGTGAAATTCTGAATCGCATGATTTTCACCTCCATCGAGCTTATACGTGAAACTCACGTGAAAACAGTTTATGTGAGTTTCACGTGAATCGCATGTGAAACTCGTGTGAATTTCACGTGAAAATCACATGATTTTTTTTAATTTAATTAAAATCATGAAAAATACAATATTTTTTTTTGGAAAAGTTCATGTGAAATGCACGAAATATTTCACGTGAAATTCACATGAAAATTTTCACGTGAGTTTCATGTATAAGCTCGTTTGAGGTGAATCCCACATGAGATGTTTTATGTGAATTTCATGTGAAATTCACGTGAGCAAAATTTGCCTGTTTATAAAAAAATAAAAAAAACAATATTAAACTCACAATATCTTTTAAATGCACCATCTCAGGGTACTCTTTAAGAAAATATTTGATTATGAATCTCCTTTCAAAAAGTACTGCTTTGTGCAACAGTCCTCTACCACCTTTGTCCCTAGAATCTGCTAACCGGTTTATCATGTGCTGCTTGATTTCGTGTAGGTTTCCAGTTTCTATAGCAACGTGAATTCTTCTTATTGTTCTCTGCATACATGTAAGAAAAGGATTATACAAATGCTATATTTCTTAACTTTTATGATATCTTTACAATTTGGCTAATAGTTTGGAAAATCTCTTGTAGCATTTAATATTTCAACCTAAGGGATATAATGTGATATTCTTCACTAGTTATGTGCCCTCTACTTTCATGAAAGGAGGTGTTCAAACCAGTTTAGATGACGTGTCACATCTACCACTTATATGGCCATATATTTTCATGTTCAAGTTAACTTGGTATGGCGGGAATTTTGGATTGCTTTTGGAATCGTTATTTTCGCCTGGAATTGCCTTAAAGTTATAAATATACAAGCCTTTCATGAATACATGTATGTCAATATTATTGACAAAAAAAAAAGTACTGAAACCTTTAGTCCATTATGGGCATGAGCTTACACCAAAGTTAAGAACATTGGCAGTGGTTGTCTTTGATTTTTCTCAGATGTGATGTTCTTTTCTTTTGGAGAATTTGTTAACTGTTGACATCAGATCGTTGTAAGTCTCTTTAAATTTACTCAAAGATTATTTACACTCGGGGTGATTTAGAAGCTGACATATTCTACAGACATTTGTTTACTGTAGCCTGCATGACATATAGATTATTTTTGTCGTTCGATTGATGTCTCAGTGACATTCATTTATACTCTAAATATTCTTTTATTATAAAAAAAAAAAATGGTAACGTATGTCGTTATGCTCAGAATTTTAAATTGCGGTCTCCCTATTGCATGTTGCTCATTATAAAGTTATATATCTCAAAATGATCCGTTGAATGTTTTTCCACTTTTTCTACAAGAACATGATGCTTGAAGGCCTAAAGCAAACATGGAGGACAACATATTTCAAATACACCGGACCTGAAATCGTATGTCGAGAGACTAATTTTAAGATTTGATTGATTGATCGCAATTTATTATTTTTAATTAATTCGAAAGATAAAACATCGCCTCGTAATACATTTTTTTATTGTTGGCATTTGGTTTTTGTGAATATGCAGTTTTTATAATCAAATTTTAACGGAATTATATGTTTTACCTGTAGCTCTGGCAAACTTTCCAAGTACTTCACGACATCTTCCTTTCCTTTTTCTGAAACTACCTCTATTATTGATTGTCCTCGCCTATTTTCAACTTGGTCGTAATCATAACTATTAAGGCTCAGACGTTCTAACATAAGCATATCTCCTTCTAATGCTATGTCGATTAAAACTTGATCAACAAAAGCGAGCTTCAATCTTAAATTGTCTTTACCTTCTGTATAGTTGTTAAGGTAAATAGTGTCACGCAATGTACGTCCATTTTCGTCCCGTTCGAACAGGTTCAAACCCTTTGAAATCATAATCTTCACTATCGCAAATGGAAGTCTCTTTTCAAAAGCGATATTACATATGGTTGATGTTTTATCTTCAACCAAGGAAAAATTGGCATATGGCAACATTACCTCTAGGACGTCATACGCGTCTTCTGTTGTTGGCAGTGTTCTCATTACACAAAGGAATAAGGGTTCAGCACAACCAACTTCATCAACGATGACGTTTATATCCGCTCCAGATTTTAAAAGCTTTTCGAGACACCCCGTTAGATGTAACAGTGCTATCTCCCCTGCTAGTGGCATAAAGAAAACGGAATTATCTTCCCCGATATAAGTGGCATTTTTTATATTAACGTCCACATTTGGATCCTTTAAAGCTTTCTTTATCGCCTTTTTATCTTTTGCCAGCGAGGCATATACTAACTTCATTGTTTTAGACGATTTTTCTATCATATTTGCCGTCTTTTCGTCTAAATTAAGATGTACTAAGTTCATTAATGGTTTCCCATATTTGATTTCCTCAAGATTACACCATGAATTGACCAATCGTAGTACCAGTTCATCTTCTCCTTTGTCGACAGCATTCCATAGGCCTGGATAAAGTAAATCAACACAGATCTGTGTGTCTCTTTCATCTTCATCTATTAATTCTTTAATTTCCTCACCGTTTGTGTTGTTAATTTTTGGATCAACACCTATCATTATGAGAGCTCTTACTAATTTTTGCATTCTAGTCTTCTTGACGGCTACATGGAGAGCAGTTTCGCCATCTTGGTTTTTCACATTTGTTTTAATTCCTGCATTGGAAAGTTGAAAGATAACCGGTAAAAGAAACGGCGCTTCCTGCTTCCCAGAATATCTATTTGCTATTACATGGAGAAAAGTCTCGCCTGTTTCACTAACTACATTAATGTCTTCACCGTTTTTAATTGCTCTTAGTGTTGTTGATGGTGTGTCGTCATTACACTCGTTTATTGCTTGAAAAATTTTAGTTATATCCATACTGCTTCAATGACGTCTCAGTGATCCATTACCAATTAGAGTATAAATTCTTAGAATAACCTTTTTTTAGATTGCTTGAAAAATGTTAGTTATGTCCATAATGTTTCAATGACGTTTAAGTGATCCGTTACCAATAAGTGACTAACTTCTTAGTAAACAAATAAACATTTACATCATATGATTTATCAGCCTATTTACAGAACTTGCTGCTGGGATACTTAGAAATATTTAGAGCTCAATGTCTCGCCTTTGCTTTTTTGAAGTTTTACATAACTGTTTCATTTACTTAATTCAATATACAATTGGAATATTGAACAAACAAAAACCTAATGTAAAGAAAACTTTTTCCAACTTTCCTATTGATTTATAGAAAGTTAACTTCAGTTCCAATATTGCTTATTGATAAAGGAAACTCAATTCAAATGAAAGACTAATAACATTTTGAAAAGAAAATCGATGAATACTACACTTATCTTGTTTAAAGGAATTTTAGTCGTTACTGCTATTTTGATCTGAACACGATCTGTAATGTCTTGCTGACTGTGACAACGTAAATTTTTGATCAGATTTATGCTATGTCTATGAAATTTTCTCAGAAAATTCACTTTGTTCAAATTATTTGGGTTATACCGCAATACAGTTTGGACAGTTCTAACCTCTCTTTAGAATTGTCAGAATGATAACTGTCATAGACACTTTGGGATGAAAATGTAATTTCAAGTAAAAGATCTCGCTCACAACGAATCACGCGAGACCCCAGAATTCCAAATTGTAATAATTATAGCTTTGCAGTGCTTCAGCGGTGTAATTTATGTCAGACAATATTACACATAGTTTCTACTACAAAAGGCTAATTGTTTTTAAGATTAACCAACATTTTACGTTTCAAAAACATAGAAAAATACAAATCTTCTACAATTTCCTAATAGCTCGCAAGACACTTTAGTGACAAATTCATCGCAAGAAAGTCGTGTGCAATTTCGACAGTTCCAAAAAGTACTTCCGTCAAAGCACATAGCAAAACTATTATTGAGAAAAAGTGAATTTTGCTATGATAATCAGTTTGGACTGGGAAGAGAGATTTCACGAAACACAATTACCATCAAAAGAGCCTTTCATAACCGCTGAACAGGTGAAGATATTTTAGAGCAGGATTCTGATCACGCCCCTGAAGTTTGGAATACCATAAAATTGAATAATGTGGGTTTTTTTCATGATGTATTATATGTAACGACAAATGTTCTGCTTTTAGCTGAACGATTCAGAGACATTACCATGGAAAATTATGGTTAAGATCCACGTCATTCTTTACAACTCCTGGTCTCGCCTGACAAACAGAACTGACAATGAGTGGGGATTCGCTTAAATTTATTACAGATTCCTTCATTTAAAATCTTGAGAAATTTGGAACCAGAGAGTTTGAATAGCTCCGCGAACCAAAAGTATGAAAATGTCAACAATAAATATATGAATGATTTCGATCCTTCGAACCCATCATCTCAAATACTATATATACAGACTGTGAAAACCATACTTCAATTTTTTAAATAAGTTAGGATGTTCATACATACTAAAGTAGTTATCAAAGGTACCAGGCTTATAATTTGATACACCAGACGCGCGTTTCGTCTACTTAAGACTCATCAGTGACGCTCATATCAAAATAGTTAGAAAGCCAAACAAGTATAAAGTTGAAGAGCATTGAGGACCCAAAATTCCAAAAAAAATGTGCCAAATACGGCTAAGGTAATCTATGCCTGGGATAAGAACATCCTTAGTTTTTCGAATAATTCATACTTTTGCAAACAATTAATTTATAAAAATGACACTATAATTGATATTCATGTCAACACCGAAGTGCTGCCTACTGGGCTGGTGATACCCTCGGGGACGAAACGTCCACCAGTAGTGGCATCGACCCAGTTGTGTAAATAGTTATCAAAGGTACCAGGCTAATAACTTGATACGCCAGACGCGCGTTTCGTCTACGTAAGACTCATCAGTGACGCTCAGATCAAAATAGTTAGAAAGCCAAACAAGTATAAAGTTGAAGAGCATTGATGACCCAAAATTCCAAAAAATTAAAGTCTAAAGAACGAATATATATACAAACAACCTCATGCCAACGTACGGCCTTCAAAATTTTTAAAAAATAAACTAAGTTTTAACAAGATTTTGCAAGATTTAGTTTACGATGTGTTTGAAATTACGAAAAGAAAAGCCGAGTCTACTGGTAAAATCTACATATGCTATCAAATAAAAACCAGATGACCTCAAAACAAGTTAGTTAAGAAAGATCATGATCAGAGTATATCTTCACTTTAGAGTTTCCTCTGATTTCGATATAAAAGTACGTACCTTTGTAAATGTATATATACATCAGAGTAGTTTTAGTTTTTACCATAATACATTTGTACCGTCACAGTACCCAAATTGCACAAAGTACCCGTTCTGCACCCATTTTGTAAAATTAATCGGCGGAAATCTTATAGGTTTCTTAGAGACTAAACAATATATGCCTTAATAATGTTCCATTATACATGTCTTTCAACATAGCTAAGTGTATTCAAATATGCACAAAACGATCACATTTTAATTCAACAGATGAAGTATTTAGTGAAAAGGTAAAATCTACTGAAACGTCACTTGCAACATCCAAAAAATTTATTTTTTTAGAATGAGCAATTTAAATTTGTCACAGACATCCATTTCTTACAAAATACTAATAAGAATATACTATTTTCACATTGTTTTACAAATGCGGAGAAATAAAACAAAGCATCAGTTATGCGATTTTAAAGTTAAACGTGTATGCAATTTAGGTATTCCATATTAAAGAATCTTGAGTCGTGTGTACGTTGGTTTAAACCTATTTGTCTATGATTCGGTATGGATTCAAAACACATTTGTGAAAATTTATAGTAAATAAGTATGCATCTACGAAATAAACACAGATTGGAAGCTATTTTCTTCTTCTTAAAAAAAAACGTTGTTCAGAAAATTGTCAAAATAGGTGTAATGTGAGTACCCTCACGTTACACCAGTATGTATGGTATTTTTTTCTAGTTTTTGTTCGACCAATAAATAAATGCAATAGTAGATAGTCATAAATCGATTTAACTGAAACAAATCCGGGTCACAAACCAAAACTGAGGGAAACACATCAACTATAAGAGGAAACAAAACGGAACAACAGAAACACTGAACTGCTACAAAAACAAACGCCAACATACATAGACACGGACTATGTGATAGCAACCGCCATTAATCTGTTCTTTAACTCATTATTTCTTACTAGGCTTGTCATTTGGTTTTATAAGTGCAATTGCTACTATCATTTGAATATGTAAGTATTTGTTATGAGTTCTTCGTAAATACTACACACTGAACAATGCTTATCATACAGGTTCAGTTTCAAGAAATTTCCCCATTGTACAAATGGCGCATCCATATCAGATGAGGGATACTATGAAACTACCTCACCTAGCGGTAGTGTGAATAAGATGTTGAAACAAACATAAATAAAAAAATTCGAAAATCTGCAAGGAATTTAAAAGCTTAGTCTCTTCCAATGTGCACTAAAACTAACGGTACCAACTGATCTCTCCAAAAAGTGAAATAACCATCTATGATTATCAATAGACAACAAATCTATGCCACCTTGGTTTTCATTTTCGAATGACAAGTATTGCGCACACTTCTTGGACCATTTTGAGATATTACAATCCCTGTCACCAAAACGCATTAGTTAGTGTGATATTCAACCCATGCTAATGTTATCAACACACACGTTTTTACGGTCACCATAATGCAGACTTTTATCGGGTAAGAGTTTCAATTGATTCAATGCGTGCTTTATTATTTTTTATCCATTTTTAAATCAAAGCATCATAACAGATGTGGCATGCGTGAGACATGATATGCTTACACTTCCGGAGCACCAAATGTCTATTTCGGTTTAAAATGGTGTTCGGATGATACACGTATTTCATTTTCTAAATACACTCAGATGCTCCGGTAAGGTTATCAGTTCCTGTTCTCCTAGTGACACGGGTCCATTACTTGCTTGCATTAGAGCATACTACTTTTTTTTTGTTTCTTTAATAGCATCAGGACAAGATGAGCAAGATTCTAAACGGAAATATAACATGTATTTTACTATTATCTTCAAAGTAAATCAAAATAAGAATTTTAACGGGGATGATTTTTTCAGTCCGTCGATGTAATGATATTTCGACCTGAAGTAAATTTTGAAATGAAAGCATGACCATTTTGCATATTTTAATTTTTATTTCACGAATAATACAATAAAAGTAATATATTATGTTTTGCAATGTACAGAAAATATAGCATTTAATAAACAAAGAAAGTCCTAAGCAAAATGTAGCTCTATAACCTTTCAAACTTAGCGCTGTTTACTTTTCAGTTGTCCTAACTTATATTTCAATGCTGCATGTGTTTCACTATACAATAACACTTCATCAATCACTTCATAATATTGGTCAAGATAATTCTGCAAAAGAAATATATATCAAACATTTAAAAAAAAACCAAAAAAGATACAAATGAAACTTTAAAATTAGAAAATGAATATAGACTTATCTAAAGTAAACAAATCTTGTACTGGACTATTGAGAAAAACAATGATCGTCCCTTGCGCTTTCATTTTTAAAACGGTCCATTATGATTTTAACCTTGTTCAGATTATATTTTAGAAATAAATGCAGTAATTGTCTCCATAACACATGAAGAAATGATTAACCTATACAACTTTAATGCCGTTCCTTGGATGTAGCATGCGAAGACTATATCTTCTTTCCGAAGCACTTTATTGCGAAGATATATTTGGTAGTTATATAACATATGTTATTTAATTTTGCGTCAACTTCTGTTGGTCTTCACATCTGTCTAGTTGTTCTTGATTTGATTTGTTTCGAACGTATATTTTCTATATTTTTCTTAAACAAAGGCGGTTTCATATATTTTACTTGATGTGGGAATTGCTTTCAAAGTTTTAATTTGATCGAAGATCTATTTAAATCTTTTATATTTGAATTGAACACATATTGGTTTAACAAAGAACTTCAACAAGTATGTTCGAATCACATTACCCTTGGTACACATATGCAATAAATAACCAAAATCCAATGAATGTGTTATAAGAAGTGTGATTCCTATTATATTCATTAGTACATACATCTACGGCTCGTCAATTATAATTTTATGTACTTTCAGTGTCATCTATATTCCTCTAAGGTTTTTCTTGCATTATATGGCCTTTTTCAATTTCAACTGGTTTAAGCGAAGCAGTTTTCACTTTGTTGTACGTTATTCGAATGTTTAATCCCGTCCATTGTACTTGTGAATCTAACCAATGACGAACAAGTAACTAGCATATGAAACAATAGAAAAAAATAATAGGTCTGTAATTAATGTTAAATGACTCACTGCAGATGTACACTTCACCATTCTCTCCCAGACATCCGTTAACAATGTGCAAAAACATTCTAAACAGTGTTCTGATTTAGTCTGAGCAAACTTCATTAGTATAGAATGGATATCACATGTCTTCAGAAGTATTAAACGAGCAATGATCCCTGTAAATCTGGTAATAAAAGATCGCCTTTATATAGAATATTCATCTGAATCTCATATATCGTCCTCATCGGTTTGAATTCATTTGATTTTCACAAAATTATTAAAGGAATGTCTGCGTCTTGAAAATATATTTCTTAGTTGCCATTTAGTGTGTGTGTGTTTTGTTTTTTTTTTCTCTCACGTGGACGAAATTTGTGCTTTAAACTTATCAAGATATTGGGGATTGTGTTTCGAAAGGTAACTTTTCTCGTTATTCATAACTTAATGTGAAGGTTTACAGATGACTTAAGCATAAGCATTTGATTGACTTATTTTTATATTGTTATCATTGTTTAACAACAATTTTTTTGTGATCTCGGTAAATCTGTTTTAATCACTGACATAGCGATTACCAGCATTGCTTATTTGTTACCACATACTGATCTCAATATAAGTCAGATCGGTCCTTTTGACTGAAATCATTTTCTGCTGAACTTATCAAAAATGAGATCAGACCACTTTTCACGACAACTCGTTTGAGAAAATAAGTTAATTTCAACAAGTTCTTTAATGGAAAATTTACTAGTCAATGTTAATTCATTCTTTCAAAACTTTTTTTGTTGATAACCTGGTAGTATTGAAGACGATGGTACAATGTTGGGATAACTTGTAAATCATTGTTAGCTGTTTGAACTATTAATTTTCAAAAGTCGTTGCAAACTTAGAGTGTCAATCAGTTTCCATTTAAAGCTTCTGCATCGTCACATATTTCTATACTAACATTTCTAGTAATACAGTCAGAAGTAAGCAAACCATATCTAAACCTTAACTAATAAGACCAGGACCTTATCAGCCCTTAACGCATGGGTGGGGCACTTGATTAAAATTAAAAAAGTAACGTTGCATTTTACCTGGCTATTTCTTCTATCCTTCTGTTGTAAGACTAAAATAGAAATGACAATTCCATAAACACCAATTCAAAATTTAATCTATAATATGTTATAAAAAAAAAGATAGTTTGTGTTAGAAACGAGTTTAGTAATTCATTTCATTTTTGTAATAATTTTCTAGAAAAATCTGTTATTCCTCAGAAATTTATCAATAATAATCATTTTGATAATTAAAAAGCCATCTTCTTCAAACGATAAGCGAAGAAAATAAAGTTTACCTCTGTAGATCTACTAAGAATTCCCTGTTCTATCTCCTTTGTACATTTTTGTCTATATGTAGTCGAAAATGTAACACTTTCACCAGGATCATTCCTTGACTGCACCTTTGCCTATTTCATAGAAATATGTATATGAATAAAGACAGTTTAAGACTTATATGAAAATGTATTTTACCAAATTTTGTTTGAAAAAAGTATTGATAAAGTATTTTTATTGATTTTGTTCTTCGACTTATCCATTAGAGATAACAACCAATACAAAACAAACCCAGTGCGATCCATACATGTACTCATACTAACTTAACGATTTTAATAACTACTTGGATCCTACTATAAATTTAGTACAATCCAGGATTATCCTGGTACAAATCTGGGGAATCTGATTTCTTCTAGAAGATATTTGAATTCTGATTTGTACTGGATTTAAAAAAAAGTTTATATCAGAATAGCAATATTTCCAAGTAAAAAAGGAATTGAAATTTGTTCAGAGAGAATTGTAGATCCTACTCAGTTCCAAGTTTATACTGTTACATTAACATTATAAATACGATGTTATTTTGGTATAAGAAGAGATACAATGAAAGTACCATTATTTTGGGAAAAATAAATGCATTCCATAAATGACAAAATATATCGGAGATGATCATGAATAAAGAATACAACTTAGTTTCAATTCAATCTTGTTTCTAGAATGGCCGGATTAATCGATTAAAATGCTTTATCGGAAATCTTTATACATGTACATATACAATCAATACGATTTGATAATGACGTTTTGTAGCCAGCAAAAAATTATTATCACATTAAAAACAATAAACTTTTGGTACACAACGATCTACGACACTTTTACATTATATATATAGAAAAGTTGTACAACTTACACGTGATAATGTGCGACAAAGACTTGTACATACTGATAAACAACTCGGTTCATCGACTGCCTGAAATTTAAAAAAAAAACTAAAGATAATACAACAGGAACCCCAACCGAAAATCGTGGTTGAACTCAGGTGCTCCGGAAGAGTTTCACATACTGAAATGACTGAAAAGCGTCTGAAAGTACTGGAGAAAATCCATATCACGGCTTTGTCACATCATATTTGTTTGAACTGGCTGTGATCATTTTCGTACAAATTTTCAGTGATATCACTATTAAATGAATTTTAATCTTAAACGGACAATTTGATCTCAAAATCTTCTTAAAGGTCAGAACCTAAAAATCTTAAGTATTGTTTTATATTTAAGATATTTTTTCGATAAGCTCCTTCTAAATTCAGTACTGTTCAGAAGTTTTGGCTTGCAATCAAATTCAAATGAAAATGATCACAGCCAGTTCAAACACATATGATGAGACAAGCCGTGATATGGACTTTCTCACGTACTTTCAGTCGCTTTTCAGTCAGTTCAGTATGCTGTTGTTTTGTTCGGGTAATAAACAAGTACTGAACAGTAAAAACATAGACTGAACAAATATCAATTGATAAATCTATACAATTTCAACCTGATTGATTGACTATAAAATTTTGTCTTTCATTTATATACAAATGTAAATTTGTATTACTTGATTGTGACTCGCTTAATCTTTTACAATCTAATTATGCAGAAAAACTGATAATCGAGAAGAAGTGACATTAGTGTCGAGTATTATCAGGAACCATATCAGAAACCATATAACTACACTTCTACTATTACTCAATGTTACTGCTTCTAAAAAACAACATTCTAATATAATTCAATCACATTGTACCATTTTTCCGTAGCGATATAAAAAATAATCTGATTGCCAACTGATTTTCCAATAAGGGAATAAAGTCTATGAGGTCAAATTCCAAACGATATGTTATTCACTTCTAATAAGTCTATTCTATACAAAAAGAACGAATCTTATGTTTGCAATTTTATTATCAAAATGTTAAAAAACGGCAGGTTATCTACGTTTTATCAAAGCATTAGTTACAAAAAAAACTTACCGTATCAACAACCAAATTCACAATACGACTCAAAGCATCCTCGGTATTGATTGGAAGATCTGATATCACCTTTACAACCATAGCTGAATCACATCCGTGTTTCACCATATTAATTGCACCTATCGCTTTACGCATTATTTCCTAAATGTAAATTATATAGATACACAAGTCAGAAGTAGAAGACTTACTTGCTAAAACTAATGAAAAAAAGACGGTGCTAAAAGTTTTAGGTAGCATGTCTATAAGCTGGAAGGGAACATTTAGGGTATCAAAGTAGTGTGAAAATACTTGAACAATTCGTTTCAGAATTTTAAATGCATCTTAAATGAAATGTGAAGGGGGAACTGCATAGCACATTAAACACTCACTATCCATCCATCAACCAACAGCCGCCTTCACAAACGGACTTGTTACCTGAGTTGCAAGCAATCTCAACAGGCGGATTGCGATAGATTACTGAGCGTTTTAATACTAATTTGCAAATCTTCCAAATCATTTCCAAGACTCTATCACGACGATTTTTCGTTTCGAAAATAACTTGCAAACGTTATACTGGGAGTACTATTTGCAAATGCAGTGCTGCATGTGTCACAGTAGAGTGTGATTTTCTTTCCAAACTTTACCCATATACCAGCCTGGAATCAAACCTGGACCCCCGGGTACAGTAAGTCACCGCTCTGCTACTGATTGTAAAGCGTTGACCGAAGCACATTTCGTATGAAGCGTGGAAGCCAATCGAAATCAAGGTTTCTAATGAATCATACATGTAATCAGATACATAGCTGTTGGAACTTTGCTACAGCGAAACGGAAAATTCACAATATGAACATTGAAATCATCTCCTTTTGTTGAAGTTTAGTTCTCAAAAGACCCTTATGTAATATACGTCTCTGATGTAATGTAATTGATTGTTTTTTGATAAATATCAGTTCGCTAATTTAAAAGTTTGCAGCAGGACTGAAGTGCTTTTTCTAATGAATCATGTACAAGTTTGTTTTGGGCATTGCACAAGGTCGTGTATTTCTGGCCCCCGGGTACAGTTAGTGACCGCTCTTCCAACTGAGCTTAAAGCGTTGTTATGTTTAAGACGTTGCCGTATGAGATTTCTGTAAAGTACAGGCATTGCTATTAGAGTATCGGACGACACGATTTTGTATTTGGCTGGTCCAGTACTCTAAAGCTTGTTTACATCAACATTCGATTTTTGGCAGTACGATGAGACTCGTTAGATATCTATGTAGTGTTTTGTTAAAATTTGTTTGCCGTTTTATCGTTTAATCGGGTTGCCGTTTTTTTTTTTGACATAGTATAGTCCTTCGACTTATGATTTTGTATCATCCCTTCGGTTTCGTTCACCTCTATTTATACCTTATTGTTGATCACTGTTTTGTTTTTTGCTTGTGCTTTTATGTATTGCATGGTTATCATATAGCCTTTAGTTCAATGATTGAGATTTAGATGAGACATTTGTTGACGGAACGCTCGTCAGGCGTATAAAATTCTAATCCTGGTTTCTATGATGAGTTTGTACATACATAAACACACTGCAAGGTTTCAGACACATACGGTAAACGATTATTTGGACGATGGAGACAAGCATGAAAAAAACACAATCTAAATTCTGAAGTCGATTCACATAGAAATAAAGAATTTCAACAAATAAATAAGATAAAAGAGATTTAAAATTATTTTCCGTCTCCAAAAATGCCGGCTAATGAATATTAACATATATGATGTGGTGAAAATAAATTAAGAGGAAAAAGTGAAATAAAAAAGTATAAGTGTAACAATAATTATCAATTCGTATTGTGTCTTGAATATATTTGAAATATTTCCAAATGGACGTTAAACAACCCCCCCCCCCCCCAAAAAAAAAAAAAACAAAACAAAAAACAATCAATTTGGGTGTAGGAAATAATCATTCATCCGGAATTGAGCATTTTTAAACACCTTATATTCTCATAGAGGTTATTGTTTAACAAAATTAGGATTCAACAACTTAATTTATTGTACAAAAATCTTATAAATATCATCTATACATTTTAGAGTTTTAATTATTTTACCTCTGTACTCATCTGTGGTTGTATAGAAACGGCACCAGGGTGAGCATCAGCATCAGGTAACGGATTTCGTTTTGGTTTAGAACGAACTGCAGGTTTGTCTGTAGCTGGTATCGACTGCTAGAGGGACGAAATACATCATTGCAACTGTTACCTTTATAACTATTCTCACCTTGTATGGATTTGTTTATCAAACTTTATATAACTGATTGCCAATTGTCATAATTCACTTCATTTTCACAAATTCTGATAAAATCATTTTTTTTCTAAACTAGTTTGATTTTTTTCTATTCGGCCTATCAACTGGCAGAACAATAAGTTCAAATAATTTTTTTTTTACTACTGGTTCATTTTCAAAGCTTTAGATTTTGGTGCTTTCTAATTTTTTATATATACGAAATTTGTTTGGTGAAAAATTGTCTCATGATTGATTCTGTTAGGTTCATAAAAGCTGGGTTTTTTTTTTTTTGTTTTGTTTTGTTTTGTTTTGTTTGTTTTTGTCTACAACGATCGCATATTACAGTTGCGTTTTATTGATCTAGTCTTTAAAGGGGGAGGATGATACACTTAGAAATTTCTTGTGTTTACATTACCTCGGGCAAAGTTGATAACCCATGGCTTTCAAATATTCGGCTTTGAGCGTTCCAGGTGAAGGTACATCCAGAAAAGCGCTTCGGACGAAGCGATTTTACGCAAGTACTTAAAACCTTCCATCCTTTATGGGTGGATTTTACATAGATAAATAAAATCGTATAATATAAGCAAAATGAGGATGTTAAATTTGATGTATGCCTTTTTGTGCTTCTTCGTTACATTTGTTTGTTTTTAAAGTGATTAAGATGATAACACAATGTTGACTACTGTACCCCTATTTTTGACATTTTTACCTATTGTGTCTGTTTATTTGTTCACGCATCGTTGTCAATATAATGGAATTTGATGCGACAGTCATACAAGTGAGAGGTTTAGCTAGCTATAAAACTAGGTTCAATCCACCATTTTCTACTTAAGAAAATGCCTGTACCAAGTCAGGAATATGACAGTTGTTATCCATTCGTTTGATGTGATTGAACATTTGATTTTGTCATTTGATTGGGGACTTTCCTTTTTAAATTTTCCTCGGAGTTCAGTATTTTTGTGATTTTACTTTTTATAGTGTTGTTTTCATTTTTTTAATTATATAAATTTGGCTATTATAGATTGGTAACTTTTGGTTCTATATATCCTAACGTTTCTATGTATTAATACATCCTTACCTTACAAATGTTTGTTTTTGAGCGGGTTTTTTTAAATCGGGGTCTAAAAAACTTTAAACTTAGATAAAGCCACATTTTCATATGCCTTTCCCATGTCTCGCACCTTGTCTGTGTTTCTCTTAGTTATAAAGTGATGTGTTATGTCCTTTAGATAATTGGATTAAGATGGCAGTAACAATCTGAGTTACTTTTCAAGACTGTATGATTTCAAACTTGACCCATGTCCATGGCTGAATCCTTCTATAGGGTGATTTAATCGCTCGGTTGGTGTATTTTATTCGTTTTTCAAACGCTCCAGTTTATTCGAACTTAATAACAGTTACTGATAAAGTCAAAAACGTCCTTGTGGTTTTAATTTTCAATTGATTCTGAAGAGGGTGGGTCTCTTGTTGAAGCACTATTAATCTTCTATGCGAAATTATGTATAATATATATTAGTAACCTCTACATTTTTAAACATACCATGTCCGTTGCACGTTTTACATATCCAGGAGTAAAAGTAAATGGACGATATGTAACAGGCGTTCCATCATACTAAAATATATTAATAATTATTTAAACAATTTGCGACATGATTGTTTGACTTATGTGATTCATTTAAGTTTCTTTAATTTTCTAGTGCAATGTTTTCTTTATTAACCAATGTGTTTTACTAGTTTTGAATGATTATTCTTCTCTAATTCGGGTCCAATAATTGAGTTAATTAAAAATAAATCTATTTAAAGTAAATTGTGAGTTGTATAATGTTAAAGGGAACAACCTCCACCTATTACTACATTTCTTGCTTTACGGTCCTTGATTTGCAAGAACTGTTTTCCGTATTTAAATTCCTTTCTATACGGACGATTGCGGGGGTCAGTATATAAGGAAAATTTAAGGCGCGGTTGACCAATGCGACGTTCGTTACAAAAAAGTTACGATATATAAGTTAGTTTTATACACTATTTCCCATCCACCCACACTAATAACCTTCATAAATACTACTTCCCCAGTTCATATCGACATGTGTGGTGCCTCGGTGGCCGAGTGGTCTAAGTAGTTACCTCTGTAATCACTAGCCAGTCAACACTGAGGTTGTGAGTTCGAACCTCACGGGTGCACTCGACTCCAATCTTAATTGACTAGGATTGTCAGTTTTCCTATCGAAGGTCGGTGGTTTTCTCCGGGCAATCCGGCTTCCAACACCACGAAATAGCCCAAAAACGGTGCTTAAAAGTGGCGTTAAAATCACAAAAAATCAAAAAATCAAATCATATTAACATGTGTATTTTGAATTTTGATGCATTTATGAATGTCTGCATGTAGATATGTAAGAAACTATATTAAATGCGATCTTGTAGTGAACGTACATTCCTACACTGTGTTTTGTTTTTTTCTTCAATACATAGTTAAGAAAAAAAATATTTTCGGAGGAGTGAAGCGAGGGAGAAAATAACATTCCTTCTGGTAAAAGGTTCAATGTTCAGTGATGTATTTAACTTCGCAAATTAAAACTAAATCTCGTCGTTCATCTTTGTATGTAAAATTATATCCCATATAATAGAAGTGCTTTATAATTTTAGTTCCAAATGGAAGAAATATTTAGAATATTATTTCCACTGACAAAAATATTACAGTTACGGAATATAGGGCATAGACTAATTTTTTCCAAACGGAAATTATATTATAGCATTGTTTATAAAACAGTTTCCCCGGGCACTTTTATTAGGAGCAAAAAATATATGTTGACACATGCTTTAATAGTCTACAAACGTCATCAACGGAATTTAATAGGACTGTTTATATATCTAAAACTATGCATTTTGTAATTTCATTAAATAATAAGGGTTATAAAGCATATATATGTCGATTCTCAAACGTAGATTTTATTTGTAAAACGTTGTTGATCTCAATATATTTTTTAAATAATAAAACGTCTCTATATCCGACGAATCAAAATAAAAACAATGTCTGGGCGTTGCAGTTGTCGTTTTAATGTTTTTTATGCAAAATTTGTTATCACTTTTTTTCAATTGTGTAATCGACTTTCTTTTCTATTAAAAGTGAATAAACTCTGCACCCTAATAAACGAACAACACGAAAGACCCTCTATTGTGTTTTGAATAGATAAATTAAATAGGAAACTTTTAAAGCATGAACCCTTCACATAACTGCTACGCCCAGATCAAGCTCTAAACAATAAAAAACCTACTACCGAAACTACTTGTATTTCTGGTATATGATCAATGTTATCTGGTCTACGTTGTGAAAACACAGACCTCCGGAGTCTCAATAGATATTTTCTATCATAGGTTATTCTTTGCACTGAAAAATATATCATCTTATGTTTATTCACTTTTTCTGCTAGTTTCCACAAAGAAATTAATACTTTCAGAAACATAAAAAAAAAAAGGAAATATATCCATATTATATTCTGAACATTAAAAATGATAATTCAAGCATTCTAGAAATACAAGAATATAAATCAGGTCGTTGGTTTTCTCTTTTGAACTGTTTCACTACTTGTCATTCAAAGGCCTTTCGTAGTTTTCTATATGGTCTTAGTCTTGCCCATTGTCGAATGCCATACAGTGCCCTATAATTGCGTACATCTTCGTCCTATTGTCATAAGCATTATACCACTTCTCTTTTGATACTAAGAAGTGTTGAATAGAGACTTTCAATAGATCACATACATGAACATTTTTATATTACATAATTGCATTTGTACCGATTTTCGGAAATAAACTTCTTATGGAACGTTCAATGCATTAGAAAAAAACATATTTCAAGCAATGCATTCAAACATGTAAATAAACATGTCTTTAATCTTTTGTCAATTTACGGAGTTTATAGTTACTTGATTTCATAAGAGAAAAAAAAAAACAATGGTCAATATCTCAAGCATGCCTGCATATGATTCCTCCAGTAAGACATATGGCAAATATTCATATATATGCTAAACAGTCGTAGATTTAATATCACTTACAATGACAATGCGTGAAGTGTATGAGAACGTATTTCCAGATGGTACCGAATTTGAGTTCAATAACTTATTTTGCATGTAAAAACAGTGCATCCTATCATTTTAACGGATTGCATAAGATTTTGATGTTATGTCCTATTACTAAGTTTAGGTCCGGTCTAATGCCAAGCTGCAATCGTTTACCAAATTTATCACAAGGTATGTTATCAAATATGACAATACCAAATAATAGGCGACACCATTAGAAGCTATTAATTATTTAATAAATCATCTGAGTTTGTTTTGTTTTCTTTTGTTATTTTAGTTTTTGATGTTGTTTTTTGGGGTTTTTTTGTTGTTCAATTCACCCAAATAAGGGTCGATACATCCATATGTATTTGCCAATAGTTTTTGAGTCTCAATATTCACAAGAAAGGCGAAACATACCAAAGGGATATTCAAAATCAAAACTCGAAAACAAACTGACAATACCGTCGCAAAAAGCAAACAACGACCAAAAAGACAGACAATAGTTACAAAACACAACATAGAAAACTAAAGAGTGAGCCGGAAAATTAAAACAAAAATCAAAGATATGTAATGTACCTTTCGTCGCGGCTACTGAAGTGTTTGACGAACATCTGTCAGAGAGAGAAGGTTTTGAGGACTCTTTATTTTCATCTAACGTTGGTGCTGGCGTCATGAATCGATCTTTTCTGCATACTTTTGGTTTTTGAACGTCAGAATTAGTTTCAACAATATCAAATGTATGGACAGACTAAAAATTAAACGACATCAATTCAACATATATTTTTTAATACCTTAATTTTCTTTTGTACATTTTTTTATTCCAGTCATGTGTTTTTTTGGGACATAATATACATTTATATAATTAAAGTTGTCTTTTAAAATGTCTAACATTTGACACCAAACATATTGTACAATAACAATGATATCATTTAAATGTATAACAAGAGCTATCATAGTTGTCCCCATATGTGGGACGGTTGATAGCTCACCAATATTTTCAGCCAGCTACGTTCTTTTTGTTTCTGTTCTGGGTAAGGAGTCTGTTGACAAACGGTTCTTGTTTATTGGCGTCTGTTATAGTTGTTCTTCCTACAGTATTAACAGGAATCTTCTCTTTTGAATGTTTTATCGTTTTGTAATCCTTAAAACTTTTATATACTAGTTTACTTAATGGTATAGGTTTTGCTCATAGTTGAAAGCCGTGTAATGAGGGGAAGTTGTTTACAATCTTGTTCATTGCTCTTTGTTGGCGAGTTGTTACATTGGAAATCCAATTGCATTTCCTGTTTTTATAAATATTGGAAAGTAATACAATTATAACGGGAGAACCCTTAGTAGAATACGAGCACGAAGTAGTAATACCTGAGATACCTTTCCATTTTCCTTTAATTCATCATTGAAATAAATTTATTTGGTAAATTTGTTGCGTTAATTAAAGGTGATAAAATACAACAATCGTCTCTAAGAAACAAATTAAAAAAAGGTTCAGGCTGCATAATTTACTAGGCATTACGAACTCTAAAAATGTTTTATTTCTATAATACGAATTTTGAATACACTAAGAACTTACTTGTTTGTTTTTAACACTTCTTGTTTCATCGGAAGGATACACCAGTGGCGTCGGAAAAGAAGCATTTGAACTAGAATACGGATATGCTGTTGGATAACGAGGACCAAACAAACCGGGTTGCGGATCCATTATCACTTGAGGTTTATTGTGATTTGAAACTGGAGCAACATTTGACATGAAATTCACATGTGGTTGTTCTGCTGGGAATAACACTGGTGCTGCTGGGTAAACAAGTGGTACAGGTACCGTTGGTTGGTAAACCGGATTATACCCTCGGGTAACAGTAGACGCAATAGTCTGCTGAGGGTATAGATATGATGATGAAGGTTTAGGTAATTGACCAGTCGTATATGTAGATACATCTGTTGGTACGGCAGTTGAGTTAACTTGCATGGGGTAACCCAATCCAGAGATAGGTTTCTGTTGAGGATCCGTTACATGCAATGGGTACTTGTTTGCAAATCCCAGTTGAGACCTTACTGAAGGCGTGACTGGTATGTGGACAGTTGTTTGTTCTATACTTGTTGCATGTGGATAAGACTTTGATGAAGTAGGCATAGTAATGCATGTGTTGACAGGTAGATTCTCGCTATTCGTCATTGGTTTATGTGAAATATTTATTTCGCCACTTTTAAGAGGAACGTTTTTAAATATCATTCCACCGTTTCCAGTAGTTTTAATAGTATTTGAATGTAGTGCATTTTCCTGCAAAGTAGGAATCTTACCAACGGTTTGTTGCCTATCCCTTTTCATGGATTGTTCTTTAAGATTACTAAGTACATTTTCTCTGGATGGAATAAGGGGTTTTGGTTCGGTTGACTCTTTGCGTGGTTTTTCAATCTGAAAATTCAAATGGAAAATTACTTCTACAATAGTTATAGAAATGCAATTCAATTCAACCTGAATACTGAAATCACCCCTTTTGTAAAGTTTTTTGTTCTCAACTTAGTAATCAATTTCTAGATATATGTCTACATAGGAGTCAAATTTAGCTGTATCTGTGATATCCTTTATTTCAAGTTCAATGGAATAAATGCTTTTAAAACAGTTACCTAACTTTGAATTATTACGTGAAGTGAGAGGAGGAATTCATCTATATAGGGCACGTGGAATAAAAGATAAATGTTACTTTCTTTTTATAGTCTACCTATGATGCTCCTGTGTGAAGTCTGTCTCATATAACATAGATACAAGTCAACAAGACGAGGACCAAAGTTGGCTTCCATTGAAATGTCGATTATTTGTAGAAAAACACCTCCTTCAAACGTAAAAATATGTTGTCAAAAAAACAAACAAAAAAAAAGCATCTACATAATGTCAGTCTCAGAAAAAAAGTTTGTTTGAATCAGAGTATTTTTTATGCTTATAAATACCTCTTTGATATTGTGAAGAATTCTGGAATTTAGTTGCGTTTCTCGATTGTGTGCAGATATTTCACTTGATTTCCCTGCACCTTCAATTTTTACTTCAATAGGACTTTTTGTCAGTCTAGCTTCAAACTTGGACTGCAATTGATTTATAGATGTTGCATCTCCGGTGCTTTTTTCATTCAACATATGGAGCTTTGGAGAATTAGGATCCAAATTACCTTTCTCAGAAGTATTAGGTTCAAACCGCTGAAAAGTATAATTGTTGTGTGACTTTCTTAAAGGATTTGATCTGTCATTTTGCTTGCTGAGTGATTCGTTGATTCTATCGGCTATAGCTGATTTATTTTCTAGCATTGTTGGAGGTACCCATACTTCTGGTGCCGCCTCCTCTTCCTCTTCGCTCCCCTCTGATTGATATGTATAGACTTTATTACGACGTGATTCTTTCATTTCCTCTCCTAGATAATTTGTCTTAGAGAAGCCGTCTTTACCATGCTGTAGATTTGTTAAACTTCGATTTGCATATAGTTTAGTCCCTATATCAACTCGCTGTACCTTGAGACAAAAAAGATCCGTGAACACTAAACAACTTATTTACGTATATCATTTTACTTGAAATAGCTCTGTATCTACTAACTCATGTTTGATTGCACTATACAGATCTATTCATTAAGTATGTTGCAATATTGAGCTGCTTTAAAAAAATGTTATTAACAATATTACTATTTAAGATTAAAATCAATGTAAAACCTCATTTCGTATGATGTTATATATATATTAGTCAACCTATATATCCTGGTGGTTTTACTAGCCCTGTAACGAGTGCTTTTTTCTAGGTAGATATATATAAATTTTGAAATTGATGCTTGACAAATTTTTAAATGATGTACACATATTTATTTAAGATATCAATATAATTGCAGCTATCTTAAAAAGATTGAGGAGCAAAATCGTTCTTATATCTATTCGTCTTCCTAATAAAAATCTTCAGTTGGAAAAATACTATTCAAAGATGATTCTTCCAAAGAAACGGAATGGAAAACTTTTCTTGTATTTGTTTGAGTCAAATGTTAAAGTTGATTAAAGTAATTTTAAATAAATATACTTTAAGAATTAACAACAATTTAACTTCAATCCTATAAACTCTACATTGCTGTTGAAGACAATTTGATGCGAGACACAAATGTTCAATCATTAATGAAAGTGAAATAGTGAAATAACGATTCGCTTTTAGCAGCCAATTTGCTTTTTTTTCAAAATAAGCTAAGAAACATCACTGATGAATTATTCACTTACAAGTGAATAATTCGACCTCATTGAATCCGTTTTCATGTGACCTTTAATTCAACCCCTTCGCTGGACATGAGTTACGCATGTATTCAGCTATTAAAAGGAAAAGAATCTCAACATTTAAAATGAAACAAGGATAAACCATTTGGTTGACTGATTCGATCAACAAAAAATCGTTCTTATACAGGTTAAAACGATGATAAACATACTTTTTAACCTACAATATGAAATCAAACAGACCTAGAATATCCAATTACACATGGCTCTCTATTCATATTTATGTTTATATCGAGTTATATGACCATCGGCAGTCTTCGTATGTCATCTATATGGTTAATTAGATATAATACACACGAAATGCTGATACATATTATTGAGTCCATGTATTGTTAATTGTTTATTTTAGACTTTTTGTAATTTAGATATACGTTTTTGTATGTAATAAATCAAATATGAGAATTTTTTTTCTAATCGGTGAACATTAATTTGACAGCTAGTGCCCCTTAAAGTGTCACTTTTCTTTTATTTTGAGTAACTTAAACGTTGCATACTCCGTAAAGTCGTGCATCATTTCAAAATGAGGATATGATACAAGGTTAAATTCAAAATTCGGTATGTTGTTATTTATTTGTGTAATAGAAACTAGAGATTTTGACCAACATTAATATTCTTACTATAGTCGTAGATTTTGGATTAAGTTTACCTTATCCGCCGCATAATTATTGCTCTTGTTTAACGATGCTAAGGTCAACATTAAAGCTATAGTATGCATGCAGCAATCACTACCCCTGTCAAAATAATTCACATAACAAATAGTAATTATTTTTAACACAACTAATACTTTATCTGTACATATTTAGCTTTTACATATTTAGGTTAATCAAATTATATACTGGTCTTTTTTAAAAAGAATACAATAACCCATAAATAATATTAATACGGCAATAAAATGATCCAAGTTTAAACAAATCATAAATTTCCTACATTCATAAGATATTCTTTAGTAATTTATTTCATGTACTGTTGTTTATCTTTATTTTCGTTTTTTGCCATGGTATTGTCAGTTTGTTTTCGACTTATGAGTTTGGTATCCTTCGCCTCTCCTACTTCTAAAATTTATCTCCAGTAAGATTTTTTACCATAGCACACCAATGCGTTTGAATGTCCTTTTGGAATCTTTCGCCTCTCCAGTATATATTTTCTAAAACATTGCTACTTCTAAAATTTATCTCAAGTAAGATTTTTTTTTTACCGAATGTCACTCAGATGTCTAGAGACACATATGCCTATAATGTATGCAGAATTTACTCAATATAGATATTACACAAATAATTTGAATTGACTAGTCGACAATGCAACGTTTGTGGTATATCGTGAAACAACAAATAATCAGCTTTTATAAGCATTATATGAACATCACCTGGAGTTTTAATTGCACAATTTCTAGTATGTATTATCTTCTATTGTACATTTGTCAATGGCTTAGGGTAAGAGAAGAGACGTTCATTAATCCTCAACTGTATGATGCTTAATTACCAATTATGACTCATTAACGTATTTAAACTAACGGGTATCTTTTTTGGGAAAAGAACTGCTAACCCTTTTTGGGCACATGAGTATATGGTTTTTGGTGAGGTTAATGTTTATAGTTTCAGTCTTTAGTTTTTTTGTGAATTGTTTTGGTGACTGTCGTTTTTTGTTTGTACGTTTTTCTGTTTTGCAATGGTGAAGTTTGTGTTTTTGTGACTTATGATATTTGATTGCCGCCTCGGTATCATCTCTCTCTGTATTGGAATTGTATTAAAACTTAAACAGAGTGAAGGTAGGAACGTCTACATAATTAATCATCTCATGATATTCAAGCACCATACTTTTCCTCGAATGTGATATATCAAATTAAACTAGTCATCGGGTTTGTATTTACATACGCAACACGACGGATGACACCAGTGAAGCAGGATCTGGTGTATACCCTTCCGGAGCACTTTAGATCACCCCCGTATTTTAGTGGGGTTCGTGTTGCTCAATCTCTAGTTTTTTATATGTTGTGTTTGTAGATTGTTGTTTGTCTTTTCGTTTTTTTTTTCGTTTTTTTTTTTTATATGTAATGGCATTGTTGGTTCGTTTTCCTCTTATGAGTTTGACTCTATGCCTTTGGTTTCTTCCGCCTCTCTTTTTTAATATCAATTTCAACAAAAACTTACTCATCACATGAACAACCGGCTGTCTGTATACATCCATCATTTTGAATTAAGGTCCACACAACCTCTAAATTCGTTTGACTGTTTTTACTAGACATACAATTACATGTAACATAACAAAAGCCTTCATCTAGTTTATGTACTTTACATTTTTTTATGGCATTTCCTTTATATAACAAGTAGCTATCCTCCTTCTGTATATTTCGGAATCGCTCAAGATCGAACTCAGCAGACGATATTATGTACGCATGTGCTTGTACATGATCAACTGATGGCAAAGATGATATATCATCTGACCAATTTGATAACGATTTGTCTTTTATACCTGGAAATGTGAGGTCTTTTCCGTTATAATTTATAGTTCGTTTACTTATTTCAGAAGGGGCGGTTGTCTTATGATCAGGGATTTTACTGTCAATTACAGACTTTGCCAATTTTCTTAGATGCTCCAATGGTTTGTTCTTGACTATGATTCCTTTTCTTCGAAAGAACTGCCTTATTTCATCTGTTGTCCATGAGTCGACTTCAGATTCTACAATTGTACATTTTCTTGATTAAGCATTTATTTTTATGATGATTTCGGAAGTGTCTGTTTGATAAATTTCTATTGTTTCTAAAAGTGCATAAAGACAGATGAAATAATGTTTGGTAAAGAGAAAAAAACTTTTGGTTAAAAATTACCAATAACATGCAGTATATGTTTCAAATATGTAGTGCATGCTGTAAGTATATACATGTAGCATTTTCATAACTCATTTGGATTGGTCAGTAGTGTCTTTGGAGCTTATTTGACATTGTCTTGAAAGAAGTATTATGAATAAGAACTTTTGAGAATGTTCAACCTAAAAGAAAATCTTCTGACATAGTCATGAAAGGAAATTGAACTGAAATCACATCTCAACATTAGAAGTGGCAATAACTTTAAGATAAGACAGTCTTAAGAACCACACTTTTTAAATCTCAATTATTGTGTGCTACATAGTTCGAACCGTCGAAATGGTGAGTTTAAAAGACACTTGAAATACTAAAAGTATAAAAAAGTTATAAAATAATGAAAAAAATTATCTTTTAATATCAAATATTATGCAAATTTTTGCTACTCATAAATGGAAATGTTATTTGAATAGCAAAGTCATATTGAATATTTAAAACGGACGTAGAATATCGAAATTTTACTTTGGAAGTGGTAAGAGATAATCCAAAAGTGCTTAGATGAAGAAAAAAAATATGTACCTTTGACTTTTATTACATTTTTAAAAACTATAAATTGAAATTCTGCATGATTTGTGTTCTTACATTACTCATACAAAATGGATAATTATTATTTCGCATTGTGAACCAATACACTTAAATCTCATAGTCATATCCAAGCCCTTTTGGAAATTTTGATAAAAAATATCATATTCTTGTAATGTTTGTTCATTTTAACAAAAGCAATGTTTGTGTTATATTGTCTTGGAATTTAGTTTACGACTAAAAGATATACCTTATTTTCTGTATATTTAGGTACTGGCTGATGAAGAGAACAGACTGAAGTTTTAACTGTAACTTCTTACATGTGTTTTAAATATAAACAGAGTGACTTATTTTAATCAAGGTTCATAATTGTTATCAGTGTATTGATTGGTTGCTGCAGCAAAAACAAACAACTAAAACAGAATAACCACTTTAGTCTATTTCTCAAAGATCTTTGGTTGTTGTTTTTTTTGTTATATATTTTTTCTTTTGTTATCTTACTTGAAGGTTCAGCTAAGGTCTGTAAGTTCGACAGAGCGGCTTCAGCTTGCTTGATTTTTGACAGTAATTCATCTTTTTTCTTCTGTTTTTCTAACTTTTCTTTTTCTTGCAGGATTTTTTGCAACTTAAGTTCAAGAGCTTCGACTGATTTCTCTTCATCATCCGATCCTATAAAATCACTTCCAACTATTTCTTCTTCATCACTCATATTTCTGTGAACATAATGAAAAAAAAAATGAGAAATGAACCCATATTCGACCAATATGTGCGTTGCAACATGTGGAAAAGGATCTCCCCTTCCGGAGCACCTGATATCACCTCGATTTTTGTTGGGTGCATGTTGCTCAGTAGTTTTCTATGTTGTGTTTTGTAGACTGTTAGTCGTCTTTTGGCCCTCTTTCATTTTTTTGCCTTGTCTTTGTCAGTTTGTCTTCGAATTACTAGTTTGAATATCCATTTGGTATATTTCGACTGCCTTTTGCAAGTCACGAGAGAATCAATATTTAACATTTATGTATTCAAAAGTATCATTATCATTTTATTTTTATTTCACTGTTCATAATGATGTTTAATCATTGTATCTATTTAGGTAAAGAAGCTAACATCGTAAAAAATTAAAACAGAATTGGAAAGTTTGTCAAGAAGACTTTAACCAGACATTGAAAGATAAACATACTTCCATGAGTATCAAAGATCTTTAAGAAATAGACTTCTTCTTTTTTATATTCCATAAGTAGCAATAGTAAAGTTTATGTTATTGTGTCATGCTCTAAATTACCTCTATATATAGCTAAGGTTGACAAATTATGAATAAGATAAGCAAAGAACGACCAATGGTCTGTTTCTGATAATAGTTGATACGAGTAACAACTTATCATAATAAGGAAGAATGCTAAAGACTGCTGAAAGCTTATTTAAAGTATTAAATCCCCTTTACTTGACATGTCTGCGGTCTTCCATCTTTAAATATCAGTATAGTCTGTCTGATCTGTCATTGAACCGATTGTGTCCTACTCCTGAATGTGATATTTTGAAGGAGTGTGGATTTGCATGGCATGGCAGTTAATGCATACCCAGCAGGAGACGCTTACCCTGTCGATGCAACCCGGTCTAGCTACTTTTGTAGTTCATGTGATTCATTCAGTGTTTGTTACTTGAATTAGTCTCTTCTACGTCGGTTTACGAGATTTGAACTGTCGTCTTAATTTATCATTTAGGGGCCTAGGTGGCCGAGTGATCTAAGTAGTCGAATAGTTAAATGAAAAATATATAACAATTATACGGAAAATTCCAATTGTCTTTTATCATCTAGATGGATTTTATTGTTTTACTAATATAGGAGGTTAACTACTAACCAATCTCCAAAAAAAACAACTCATTACTTATGAGGTATGCCCCATGGTAAAATATGTAAATATGTAATAGAAGTTTATTTAATGATAAAACATAATAAGAAGTCTAACTTTTTTATCACTAGCCTATCAACACTGAGGTAATGTGTTCGAATCCCGTACGTGGCAAGTGCTCTCGACTCCAATCTTAATTGACTAGGATTGTCAGTTTTCCTACCGAAGTTCGGTGGTTCTCTCCGGGCATCTCCGCTTCCTCCATCTATAAAAACTGACCGCCACGAAATATCACAATAGTGCTGAAAGTGGCGTAAATAACTAACTAATCAATCAACTAATAATTTACCATCTAAATTTGATGATGCAGAAACCACAAGGGTTTCATGTTCTACGTACAATTGTATCTCTCTTGGATTTTATTCTTTGATTCGTTAAATATAGATTCTTACTTTGGTACCAGTTGACCATCGGATTTATCCAATGGAGATACCGTTAAATTATCGAATTTTACAGTCCTTTAAAGTCCGAGTCTTTGCGATGAAAAGACGCAGAGAGACATTTTAATGGTCGATATTAAAGAAAACATGCACAACCCCTTAATTTGTAAGATTATTTGGAAAATGGTTATCTCTTTTAAAGATGCAATGAAAATAGTGATCAAGATAAAGATTTTTTTCAAGCCCTTCAACAACAACAAAAAATAGCTGTTTCCTTAACAAAAACCCAACGCGAGATTTCAATGTCGCCAAGTAAACTACTGAATCCGACATAATAGTCATGTAAATTACATTGATGGAATTAATTCACCATACAAAGAATCGATACTTTATAATACATTTATTAATATGTCGGCAGGTCATAAGTCATATCAAGCATATTTCTAAATATATAATTTGTAGAGAAGATATTCTCGAATAATATATATATATATATATATATATATATATATATATTGCAAACAATAAAACACGTTCATCAAAAAAGAAATACGTTTATTCGACATTCAACAACCAGCAAAGCACGACCAAATTTTTATCTAAAATAGTGCATACGTGTGTGCTAGGTAAAATGAGCAACGAGTAATCAAAATGATATATTATAATAACGAGAGAGTATTTATATAATGCCAAAACCAGGACGATAGTCCTTCAGTCAGCTAATGAGATTCTGAATGAATATATTGGAAAAGAATCGTTGATCGTTCTAGAATGTCTAACTAACAATAAAATGGCGTTTATTATGTTTAGTTTGTTTTATCTTTGCCGCAGCATATAAATGAAATATGGTTGCTCAAATAGAGTGACTGTACTCATTAACTGGAAATCCATTGTTTGTACAATCAATATTAATTTACTTACTTTCATTTTCAATTCTTCAATATCCTTCAATTGTTAGATCATACTTCCTGTTTCTACAGCCATTTTTAAAATCGTTATTTCTATTTTCGGAAAATCAAAACAGAAAATGTAAATAGGACAGGTATTATCAAAAAAAATGTCAGGTGTTGGGTGATAAATTGGATAGACGCTGATTAACAAGTAGCATGTAATGAAGTGGATCAAAGATTAAGATATGTTTCTATTTTTCTCGACGTTTATTTACTTTTTTTTTTATAATTAAGTACCATATTATGTCATTGTATACCATTATCTGTCTGTAACAGTTACATGTATTTATTTTCGCTTTAACGTAAACATGGTAAACCCTTCCATAGAGAACGGGGGGGGGGGGTCATTAACATTACTCAAAAGAGAAAACCTCTTCCTCTTTTTGATATCTTCAAAGATTTGGAAATGGAAAAGCTTAACTTGAAATTCTGTAAACACTTTTTATGCGTTACTAAACTCTGTACAAACTTTGCAGTTCTTTCGAAACTTGGGCATGTTGGGAGATACCCATTATAATTCAACTAGATAAAACAAATATTTTTGTACTGGTATAGACTTGAGAATTACCCATCTGACCTGTTGAGCAGAGTCTTTAATGAGTATAAATCTAGCACAAGTCAGTCAAATAACTCATGGTACACGAACATATTTTTTTATAGTGAAAAAAAACTGGACATCAACCTATCTATCTGTAAAAAACTTAGTAATAATAAATTTAAATTTTATTTGAAGAAATGTCTCCAAAAGAATTTTCTTAAGACATGGATACATATAAGACATTATAGTTATTTGAAAGATACCAAAAATTCAGCAAATATTTCTTATTCGAATTAACTTTCAATTAGGAAAGTAAATTATAAATATGAAGAATTGTATCAGTAGTAGAACTTTAACTGAATTAAGGCAAGTAAACACAGTTTGAGAATTGAAACTGGGAGACATGGACGAAAACTAATGATACAATCTCAGGAAGAAACTGGGAGACATGAACAAAAACTAATTACAATCTCAGGAAGAAACTAGGAGAAATAAAAGAAAACTAAATACAATCTCAGGAAGAAACTGGGAGACATGAACGTTAACTAAATACTATTCAGACAGAAACTGGGAGACATAAACGAAACTAAATACAATTCAAGACGAAACTGGGAGACATGAACGAAAACTAAATACAATTCAGGAAGAAACTGGGAGACATGAACGGAAACTAAATACAATTCACGAAAAAACTGGGAGACATGAACGAAACTAAATACAATTCAGGACGAAACTTGGAGACATGAACGAAAACTAAATACAATTCAGGAAGAAATTGGGAGACTTGAACGGAAACTAAATACAATTCACGAAGAAACTAGGAGACATGAACGAAAACTTAATACAATCTCAGGAAGAAACTAGGAGACATGTACGAAAACTAAATATAATCTCAGAAAGAAACTGGGAGACATGAACAAAATCTTAATACAATCTCAGAATGAAACTAAAGAAACATGCCAATTTGGACAGCCAAATCAATAAATCCATCAACGTGTCCTTTATTTGACAGTGTTTACACCAAACCTTTACCATGTTCCTTAGAAAATGTTTTTAAACACATACCTTTGAATTATTTGCTTCATATCAACAAGACCTGTTATTCATAAACTTGAAATGACATGTAAAAAGCTTATTTCTCGACCTTGCTTTTATAGGGAAAAAAGGGAGAAAGTACGAAGGGCTATATTTGTACGAAGGGACGATATTTGTTGAAATAACGGAATTCATTGATGTAAAATTGAAAAGTAATTAAAAGCAATTGTAGTTAATGTATGAAGCTACATTTAAATACTTGAAAAAATCAAAGTTTCATATATCTGGTAATTTGAACCAAGCCAAAGTGTGATAAACAATATGTAGGACAAACATGACAGGTATTGTTTAGACGAACACAGGAACATCTATACTACTTCCAAAAACCTAAGAATTTGAAATGTATCAATTACCAACATTTATGACACAAAATCACAATATTAAATTTATAAATTTCAAACCGCTAGAAGCGATCAAGAAACAACAAGGCAAATCACATAAACAATTTGAAGATTACCGTAAAATTTGCTAACTGTCTTGGATCAATGACTGCAGCCAGGATCTCCCCTCGGTCTAAATGACAATATAATGGAACAAGGGGTCATATTTAAAACTTTCTCTTTTGATATCATGAATATTGTAGACAAAAGACAACGTAATTGTAGGTCTTATGACAAACGTATGAATCAAAATTAACGAATGAAACATCGTATAAACCATACACTTGACGATCTCGTATGTATATATTCATAAAAAAAATGGTAGGCATCAAAAAGTATATAAAATTAATCTAAAACTAATTAGGAAATTACATGATATTTTCAAGAAGTGTGACACAATTCTCATTTTTCCCCCTATTCAAAAATTTACGCAAATTACAGTTTTTTGTAGCCATAGACTGTTCCCGCGTATCGATAAACTTTGCATTTTCTGAATATTAAATATATTATAAAAGGTAATGATTTTATCAACTTATCTAGCATAATCAAAAACTCTATCATTCAAACCTTTATACCGCCCTATCTTGATCACAAATCAGGCTGATATCCAGTTGAAATTAAACAAAGGAAATGAAACTCTTGATTAGAGAAGCTAAAAATAGCCAAGTTAATATATTTCAATTGTTTACATCTTTTTATATGGCCTTAAAGTTTAATGTATGTGCATCATTTCACTGGTGTTAAACTGATCACCGTAACTGCAGTTACGGTGATCCCAACATGGCGGAGCCCAAAGCAGGTAAAATCGTCTTTTTGTAATTTCTCCGTGTACACGCATTGTTTTAAAGAATTACTCAGCCGCTAGGTTGACATGTACGGTACTGTTGTATGTGTGTGTTCTTAATATCATATGTGACCTTGTTACCGAAATAATAGCCATTGAAAATTTACGGAAGATCATCGTTACTCCAAGAATTTTGTTTGTTATGATAGTGGTAACTTGACTATTAGATAGTCGTAACTTGTAAATGATCATAGTAACTTGTCAGTGATGATCGTAACTTTCTCTATATGCTGATGGGCGACTATATATAAATCGTGTTTGAATGTTTGATAGTGTGGCTAGAACTAGTGAATAATTTACTAATTTACCTTTTGCTTTGTAGATATAGTCTTTATATTTTACAAGTCATAATTTAAGGTAAATGTTCATCATGAACAAGGAGAGGCAAACATTTTCCATGTTCACATATTATTAATGGAAACTATAATGTTTAAATTACGTTCGTTTTCAAGTAAAGATATGCTTTAGGTCACGGTATCTTATTTTCCTTTGAATCTCGTTCCCTTTTTAAACACTTTTTTCGTAATCTGAATGTTGTACTAGTTCCTTTGGTGTGGGTAGCTAAGGTGTGCGTCAATACTGCGTCTGTACTAGACATTAAAGGACACATATAAGTTTTCTTATCCCAGGAATAGATTACCTTAGCCGTATTTGGCACAACTTTTTGGAATTTTGGGTCCTCCATGCTCTTCAACTTTGTACTTGTTTGGCTTTATAACTATTTTGATCTGAGCGTCACTGATGAGTCTTATGTAGACGAAACGCGCGTCTGGCGTATTATATTATGATCCAGGTACCTTTGATAACTATAGAGCGCATATAACCTACGAAAAAATGAAGTTACTAAGAGTGCTAAATAAAGATATTGTGGCGGAATCTTTTTTTTTTTATATTCAAAATTATGTGTAGGGTGGCTTGTTTCTATCCAATTTATTTTCATAGTTTTTATTTGCTTAGGCATGGACCATTTAACTTTCTGGGAGGGGGGGGGGGGGGCTTTGTTGCTAAAATTATAACATACAAAAAAAAATTTAAGAAGCATTTTTAAGCAAACACTGATATACATTATAACTCAAATATATAAATCATGACTGATGAATGAATTGGGATAAAAATAAAAATCAGGTGAGCGATTCAGGCTCTTGAGCCTCTTGTTATTTCTTTACCTGTAATTCAGTGGACAAAAGTTAGTTCCCACTCCAAAAATATCCTATCATTTCAACTAAAATCAATATTTTTCAAAATATATTACCAAGTAACTACATGACTGATTTATATCAAATAAATACCATAATCAACATTTTGGTTTGAATAAAACCGCCGTTGTTTATTTCAAGGGCTTACGGGTTTATTATACCCCGATGTCTGAATAAGACACTGCAACTTGGTTTGAGTAAAACCGATATGCTTTATTTCTCAGGGTAATTCTTCGTTACTTTATTTTATCCTGTTTTATCTAAAGTCCCCCTCTAAATATAGAGTCTAATTCCACAGCGTGCTCTAGTAATAATTGAGTTAGAGAGTTTTTGTATTTCGGGGTTTTGAATTTAATATTTAATAAGATTACGATAAAGTTAAATAGTTTAGGGTGTATACGGTAGAATTCCGTTTGTTAAGAAGCCGTAAATATTCATATCACATGTTTGGTAAGAACTTTTACATTATTTTACAATGCAATATTTTGATAGACTTATTTGAGTGCTCTGTTTAATGTGTACTTTGTTGACTTTGGTACTTCATATTGTTATTGCAATTTACATGTGTTGTAAAAAAAATACTTATCTCGATCTCTTCAGCAATGGAGACTCAGGGCCCAGTGGTTCGAATCTTTATACGAGGTTAGCAGACGGTTCACAATTAAAAGTCGGAAATATCATGTAGATTTGTGTTTCGAAAATTATTTTTTTCCGAGCCATAAAATCGATTTCGCTTGATTTAATATAATTGTCCGATTGAAGATATTCAATTTACAGTTAACTTATAGAGATATTGAAGTCAAGGTCCGTGATCAGTATCAGAGTATACGTATTGTTCGAGTAGATTATATATTTTTACACACGATAAAAAGGAGCTCATCAGTACAATGTAGAAAATACGTGTAGCTTTAGATACTGAGTTAACATTACGGACTTAAACAAATAAAATACACAGATATTAAAAAAAAGAATATCTGATACATAGAAAATATACTAAGGTCGAACCGTCTCCTGTTACAATATAATGGAATTTCAAACTATAATTTAGTATAGTTTTAACATTAGGATGCATTATATTCCTAATATCGATGACATGTGGTTGTCCCGAATAGTATAC